CCGCGCGCACGCGCCAACCATCCCAAGGCTGTGTCGTGCACGAATTTTAAAGCGCCTATAAAAACTAAACGGTTGCTTCTGGACCTAAACCATCTTCACCATACTCAAGATGGCATATGAGACTACCAAATCGAGCTATAACACTACACCACCCTTTAACCCAATCTCTCAAAATAATTCGCTAAACATAACAATGTCTAGCTATTGACAAACTTGAAAATTTTCTAAGTTTTTGAGCTGAACTTGATTTCAATTTGTAATTTCTAGGCTAGTAGAAATATCATTTTTCAACATCAAGTATTTCACTGTTGTCGGGGACTTAATACCGGGGTACCCTAGTAACCACCGAAAGCTGATTCTTTCGAACGACGGAAGATCGGTTCGGCCTCGCCCGACCCCCGAGGGCTAGGCTCCCCCTCACTCGACGGCTAAAGTCCAGACTCCGCCTCGCCCGACCCCCTAGGTATAGACTCCGCCTCGACCGAGCCCCCAGGGGCTCAGCTCCTCCTCTCGACGGATGCCCGAGGAGTAGGCTCCGCCTCGCTCGACGCCTAAGGGCTGAGGCTCGCGCTCGCTTCGATGTCCAAAGGCGGGCCCCGCCTCGCCTGACAACCGCACCTCACTCCTTCATGATGATAGGCATAGGGTAAGACAAGACGTTCAGATTAATCGCGGCATCGAGGACCATGCCCTGCGCCCCTGCAAGAAAGTACCATCAAGGCGTGACGGGACGGGCGCTTAGACCCTTCTAGGCGTGGCAGAGCCTAAATAATGTTGTAGGCGCGTGCTCTTCGCTCTACAGTGTTGTAGGCGCCGCCTTCAGCCCTCGGGCGAAGAACCCGACATAGACATACGACAACCACTATGTTCTAAGGGGGGACTCCCGTCCTCTATAGTGGCGAACGAGCAGTCACCGCGCCGTCTGCTCCCCACGGGGTCACCGATCGACACCCCTGTCCGACACGCCGCCCGCGGGGGCAGGATGGGATGTGATCACTTGCAAAGCATGGCATCATCAACGCACGTAGGCCTGACGAACGTGCCATCTCTGATACCGTCTAGCTGTGTTAAGGAGGCTGGCTCTGAGGAAAAGGAAGACCCAGCGCCTTCGGAGGGGCTTTTTGGCCTCTAGTTTTTCTCCTTTCTCCGACATGTAAACCCTGCCCCTCTTTGGTCTATAAAAAGAAGGGCATGACGCCCTGCTAGAGGGACGGACCAACTCACACACACACGAACTCATAGAGAGTTCGATTCCACACACACACGACACATCACGCACACAGCCAGGCCGCCACCACGCTCTTGGCATCCTTTCGATCCTTCCATCAGAGACCTGAGACTAGTCTCTCTCTTGACCATTTGTACCCCCTACTATGAACCATTTTCGGTGCTAATAACACGAGCAGCAACAGACTGGACGTAAGACATTCAGCCCGAACCAGTATAAACCTTGTGTTCTTTAGCGCAACATTCGGGCCTAACGCGCATAAATATAAATTTACTAGCCGATGTTTGTTCGAAACACCGACAACTATCATCTATAAAGTTTGTACTTCAAACTTTATTTAAGTATCACGCACATGTTCTATAGTATTTTTGCTTAAAAATTGGTTTTCAACCCTACTTGATATACATGAGCTATTGAATCAACTTTTATTGATTATTTTTTTATGTTACAAGAAATTTATCTACATATTCTATCACATGCACTAACACATAAACATGATGCTCATAACATGTTTTAGTAAATGATTTAGGGTGTAACACTGAGAGTGTTATATTTTTAAACCACAAAAAATATCTCTAAGCTTCTAAAATTTCTGAGAAAAATATTAAATATGGATTAGATCAGGAGAAACCCAAATAATATATTTATATCTTGTGAAAATATTTCTAGAACTTTTAAAATTTTGAATTAGCTCTAGGGAAATCAAAAAGTATCCAAAAAATCTGGAAAACTACCAAAATATTCCAATTGATATCTAATTGCATCTTAAATGCTTTTCAAAATAAAAACATGAGATGAAGCCACCATGAATGCATTCAACATTAATATATGTTGCATTTATGCTGGTTGCACATCATATTTTTATTGTGGAAAGTTCCTAAAATATGTTTAGACATGAATTAGAACATTTTGGTAGTTTTCCAGTTTTTTTGCATATTTTTTCCATTTTCCTAGAGCTAAATCAAAATTTTAAAAGATTCTAAAGATATTTTCACAAGATATAAATATATTATTTGGGTTTCTCGTGTCCTAATCCATCTTTATTATTTTTCTCAGAATTTTTAGAAGCTTAGAGATATTTTTTGTGGTTTAAAAACCTCATTAGGTATTTATTGGATGTATTTTTAAACTAAAAAGGCAAAATCGCCTTTGAAACCACCTATAACTGGGTCAGGAAGGTAAAATGAACGGTTTTAAATGTTGAGGGAGGTGGTTTACCCGATTTTAAAATTCAGGGGAAGAAAATTAGACTTCGAGGATAGTTTAAGGAGGTAAAATGGACTTTTTTCACTGACTTATCAAGGTGTGTCGTGTCTGTCTATGGATGGTGTCTACATGCTAAAGCACGGTCCAATAAGACTTGGGGCGTGTCGTGCCTGGCTCGTTGGCACACCAAGTCCATCACGCTTGTGCCCAGTTCAGGTCCAGTCATATTCTCCACATAAAAAAATGTGTCCAGATTTTCATCAGAAATTTAACTATACAAGTCATACAATTCATAAATACTTAGAGATACCAAATTAATATACACAAACCTTCAAAATATATAATAATAAACTTATATCCAAGACACGATGCTATAAGGTTCAAACTTGGTTCGCAGATGCTAAGTTCAATCATAGAAGATACCGATATAAGCATATAGCCGAAGAGATCACTGTAGGGTTTAAACTTGATTCATAAGGATAACTAGGAGTTGTTTAGTGCAATGGCTGCCTCGTTAAAAACCTTTCTAGGTAAAAACTCACACCTCATGAGAAAACCCTAAAAAGAGAAAAAGTACAACCTACCTCAGGTGTTCATAATTATTACAAATTATGCACTCCAAGTTTAATTGTAAAGATACGAATTTTCAAAGACTCTTGAAGCTTCAAGTTCTCCATGGTACATTGAGTTTTTGTATCCCCTTCCTCCCAATCTTTCACCAAGGACAACATCTCCATCATCTCTGGACTTAAATGTCACCGTTGGTCCTCGATGATTCTACCAGCTAAACTAGATGCAGATTCTCAAGCTATAGAAGCAAAAATAGTCAAGCCCCCTTTTAAGTTTATCCAACCCTTTGGTGAGTTTTGGTGGATTAAATAACAACACGATTAAAGGTCTAACAAGTTTGCTAAGTGTTAAACAAGGATTTAATTAGATTTGCATACACTTGGAGATATGATTTGTTGTGTGTTTTGAAGTGTACCAAAGATTCAACAATAGGAAAACTTGATGTACTCCACAGTGTGTTGAAATGAAGCCAAAATGATGTATTGTTGTTGAAACAATCTAGTTCAAGAAGTACAACAGTGCAAATGAAATTTGATGAAATGGCTTATATGTTATGGAATATCATTGCATCATGTGAAGGCCTTGGGAAATCAATGAAGATGAAGATGGATTTCATGAAAAAAATAATTTCAATTATGCTTATTGTTGGTTCAATTCACCATGTCTTGGAATGGTTTGAGAGGGTGAAGACACCAAGAACTTCAAATGACCAAGCAAATACGAAGGTGATGTTGCAATTTCTCCAATTTATACCGCAGCATGTGCTCTCGATTCAACCCCCCTCTCTGCACTTGTAATGGTATGGTTCGAATTAACCCAAGATAATCATGCTCTATTTGGAACACAGTAAGTTTCCTGATTCCTAGAAAATTCATGTAGGATTCATATGAAAAAACATGGCCTTAACCGGTGGGAACAAGCTAAAGCATTCATGAGGTTCCAAATAAGTCTAAGTTCTTGTGACAACCAAATATCTTATCTACAGTTCCACCCGTGCGATTCCCAATCAAACTATCTTCAAGCAAGTAGCAATCACAAGATAGGCACTAAATGATCAACAGAGCAGGGTCAGAGCTCCTTCGTCCCAGGGCATGTCATCCGGCCTGCAAAACCACACGAACCTCTCGTCGGCACAACAAATGTATCGACCCAAGTATTGCATACTTGATAATCATCATCATCATCATCTTTACATAATAGAAAATTGTACACCAAAAGCTATTAGATGTCTGGCACCATTGTCCGGTAGTAGCCCCAGACAGTCTGACGTCAGCGGCACACAGCATGAGACTGTCACGGTCTGTCACAGTTGTATCGTGACGAACGGCAGTACCATCGGACAGCATGCTAGAACACGCAGCATGAGCATATATATCGAGAAACACTATCTTCATAGCAACAACTTTTTTGTTGATCATTATTTTTTTCACCATTTTCTCAAACGCACACCATCGTAACAATGCACACAAAAAATGGAAACACTCGATTGGCAGACAGTGAACTTTAGTATTTTTATATGCTCAAGTATAATCTTTTTAATTTGGGCGTTCACCCATGTTTAGCAACGAGACAACTTTAATTGACATTAGCACTTTTTTCAGCTGCTAGGTCACATTTTAGAAAGATTAGAGAAACGAAATGAGAGTATCACAAGGAAATTGGCATCCTAGCTGGATTGTCCTGATTAGAGAAACGAAATGAGAGTATCACAATGAAATGAGAGTAATCACATACTGATAGCTGTGCTGAACTGTAATAAGCAATGCCTCATTTGGATTATTGTTTCCTGTATACCTTCTTACTCAAACTCTTAATGCCGTAGCATAGATACATCCAGCTTGTATCTATCAAATTAACAGCCATTATCGAACAACCACAGTAATTATTAAGTACAATGATACCTCCAACGGCTTGATCCTTGTGTGGCATTTCCATAATAATATCTGCCTAAAATCACTTTCCAGTGCACCTAAAACAAAATATCTAGATCGGGTTTCTACCACGTGAATGAAGGCAAAACATAAGAAGGATATGATCCATGCTTGCTGCACAGTGAATTGATGGCATCCTCCCCAGCAGTTTCTCCAAATCCACCGAGTCCAAGTTCATCTGCATGAATCCCTCCAGTAATGAACGCAGATGCGATTCCTGACACATTTGCTCCTTTGATGTCGTGGTGCAGTGAATCACCCACCATGATACATTCATGAGCATCAACACCTGCTAGGGACATCGCTGATGTATAGATCACCTGACAAAGCCATAACACATTAGTAGCTAACACAAAAGGTTCTCCCCACCTACCACACAAAAACATAATTTTAGCAAGGGAAAAACTTTAAAAGGGTGCACTAGCGTGTGGTTCATCATATTCTTTGAGTGCCATTGCAACTAAGTATCATGCTGACGCTGACGTAGCTTGATGACAGATGTAGAGGGGGCCAAGCTAAATCAAGTTATGCTTAACAAATTTGTCGAATAAAATCAAGTGATTTCTTGAGAAATCTGAAGACTGAGGAGGAGCCATGTCCCTCGATTAAGCTCCGCTGCTGCATGCAGATAGAGTTGAATTGTTCCTTTTCTTTTCTCGAACATGCAGAAAAGATGCAGTTGAATTGTTCTTTAATCTACACACGTAGACATGCCATGACTAGTTGAATACCTTATCAGGCTTCCCCATCCATTTCACTTCACCACCAAGACTCTCATATTTAGCTGCCAGAGTGCCTAAAAGGAGAGATTGCATTTGCGTGAATAACCAGAAATGTACAAGTTAAAAGCAACATAGGCTTACATACTGAGCAAAAGCTTTACATCATACTCTCATAATTAAGCAATATCTAAATTGGTAGTGCAGCCATGCAGATTCATTTTAAGCTAAACAACATAGGAGTAATACTTAACATCATGATCATAAGCCATGCAGATTCATTCCAAGCTAAACAACACACCAGTGGTGGATAAAAGCATGCAAAAAAGTTGAGAAGTCCAAAAGAAAGGGTTTTAACAGTGCAGTAATCCAGCTTGGGACCTATGGAATTACAGGAACAGTTTTTTATTTTTTTTTTTTTTTATGGTGCAACCCCATCGCTGCCATCAGCACAACACTTCTTCAAAAATGAGTTGAGGCTCTGGTGCCTGAAAACTCCAGGAACTATTTTTTGGTCGCAGAGAGGGTCTAGTGTGAGTGTTTTTAGTAAGGTCGGTTCATTGTTGACATGTATATTAGGTGATTAACTTTGGTGCTTTGCTGCAACCTTCTCTTATCTCCTAGGTGAGGTAAAGAGGTTGCTTCGCATGGGATTCTTTCCCCCTTTTTTCTCTCTCTATATACTCTATAAGGATACACATCTGTCCAGTGTGTCGAGAAAAAAAAAATACCAGGCATGACACGGAGATCTCGAGCTTCGACAGTGACATAATCTGGATTAGCTACCACCATTGGAAGTCGCTTTTCTAGGCCAAGCATTAGAACCTGCTCAAGCTCCTCGAGACTTTTGGGAAGAGGATCACCAGAAGGTGAACCAAGGGCTTCAGTACCGTGGGCTAATATAAACTCTGCATCATCAACATTGTTCACAACTTGCAAACCAAGGCCCTAATGTATGAGAAATTGAAAAACTGATTAGAATAAACCCATTCCGATGCTAAGTGGAAGTGGCAGGAGACAAACCTCCAGAGAGATTGCTCCTCGATCGCCCCAAGTGATATGGATACACTTCCTTCCAAGGGCTGCAAACCATGGGTCGTTTCTCCTATATTCACAGATTAAATCATAGAGGAGGATTAATAGACAGTTTATCTTGCAGTAAAATGAAGAAAGTTTTTCTACAATTTCCGAGTATGTCCACATCAAGGTACCAAATATTATTGCATACAAGAAAAAGGAACTCCTCTGGTTGGTAGTATCATAAACATCTTGGTTGATATGCGCAGTCCAATGTAAAAATGAAACCCTCAACACCCAGCAAATGTTAAGGTAATTTAGGGGCTGTTTGCCTGGGAGGCCGCGAACCAAACAAGCCCTTAAAGCCTATCATACTCATACATCAAGTTTTACATCCTTAAAGTTAAAGGAGACAATGAGCACAAACATAACTTCTATAGGCAGAAGAAACAGCCCCCAGGAAGCTTACTTCTGAAGGTGTTGATGTGTGAGCTCCCCACTGGTGATGGTTGCGAGGAAACAGGACGTGTCGAACCCCAGGCTCTTGAGCTTCTCCATTGTCACAGATGACCGCCTAGAGGAATTGCTGATTATAACCATATTTGCCCCATTCCCCGCAAGCTTCTCCACTGCAAGAATCAACTTGATTGTTCACAAATAAATAGCAGCATCACAACACAAAAGGAAACAAAAAACAAGCTAAACAGAAGTAGCTACACGTTCTCTGTGCCAACATACATGCCAGAATAGCGCCAGGGTACGGCTTCTTCCCGTCGTGAAGAACGCCAAACTGGTCCAGGAACCATGCCTGCGAGAGTGCGAGACAGATTCAGATGTAGCCAAATGAGAGCGTAGCAGCAGGGAATGGCAAGGACAGCTTCTAATTTCCACAACGATAAGGCGATTTCTCTACAGGATCTGCGATCTGGTGATCGGAATCGGCGTCCCACGGTTAGTCGCAAGGCGAATCCCAATCACTGCAGCTACTACACTACAGTGACTCGCGAAGCCAAGCAAAGCAACAGGAGGGGCGGAGCGATTGTGATTAAAGCAGGTAATAGCTTGGTTCCTGGGAAGTGGGGAGGAGCTTGCCTTAAAGCGGCCGGACTCGGCGATGGCTCGGATCCCGGCCACCCTCTCAAACACCGGCGCCGACGCCGCGGAGGCCATTCTCTCCTCCCCCGCCGCCGCCCGGACCTGGAGCCAGGAAGCGGAGGGTGGAGTGGAGGCGACGCGAGGAAAAGCCAGCGGGTTTTGTTAGGCCTTGTTTAGATAGGTTAGGAATCATTATTCGGCACCGTAGTATTTTCGTTTGTATTTGATAATTATTGTTTAATTATAATTTAACTAGGTTCAAAAGATTCGTTTCATAATTTACAATTAAACTGTGTAATTAGTTATTTTTTTATCTACATTTAATACTCTATATATGTATCAAAGATTTGACGTGATAGAGAGTGAAAAAACTTGCAATCTAAACCAGTCCAAGTTAATAAAAAAATTTGACCATTCGATCCTAATTTGACGGCTCCTTTTTCTTCCGCACATATCCTGCTTCTCCCTTCACAATACGAGCGTGCCACGATTTGGCCGTCCCAACGAGCCTGATTTTTTTTTGTTTTTTAGCCTTTTTTTAAAAAAAATCATAAATATCTTCTTGGAGATATGCTTTTAAAATCTGAACCTTTAATTAATTGGTAGTTTATCATCGTTGGTGGCGCTTACAGATAGATATAGCTTTAGATAGCTAGTGACGGTACATAGATTTTTAGACGTCTAGGGTCTTGGGTTAATGAGATAAATATAGTTAGATAGCTAGTGACATTCTTTAGGGTGTAGTGGGTCATCCTTCCTTTCTCTCTCTATCTCTTTCTACTAGATGAACAACCTAGTAAGCATATATCATGGAGGCACCGTGGAAAGAGATCGTTATAGATATATTGAGTTTGTTAACATGCAAAGCGTGCCACAATGAGAAGCCTTCATTTAGTGAGTTGGTTACAAGAGCCCATGAGCTACATGCCATGGCGATGATGATGATGGCATCACAGTGGTGTCGACGTCTTGGCGATCACCGAGGGGTGCCCGGGTCCAGCTCGGCGCATGTGATCGCCTCCCTGAGACAGCCCGCACTGCCCGTGATCGGCCAATACCCTCCTCTGGTCCATTGAGATGCCTGTCGTCCCGTCTCATGGCTCCGTCCTCTAGGGCGTCCCCCTCCTTATATATAGAAGGGCGCTCCTCCGACGACCTTGCCTTACAACGTCTTGCGGTGCCCCTACTCCCAGCCTTGATCTCACGGGCCATGCCACCTCGATCGATCATCCTCTTGTGTCCCGTCATGCTCCCCGGTCCTGTATTCGTCATGTCCGCGTTTTAACCTTCATCGTTACATTGACTTAGACAGGTAAATTTTTTGAATATGCAATATAGGTACTTAGTTAGCTTGAATTGTAGTGCTATTTTGATTATTTGGTAGTTTCTAGTAAATCTGATGATATAGGTAGTTGATTTAGTTAGTGAGATAGATATAGTTAGATAGCTAGTGACATAGGTACATAGATATAGTTATTAGATAGCTAGTTGAGTTAGTTAATGAGATAAATATAGTTAGATAGCTAGTGACATAGTTATTTAGGGTGTAGTTGGTTAGTATCTATTAGAGAGGTACTATATAGCAGCTACTTTGGAGTAAACGAACTGTATTTTAATTTTTGTTTGAACTACTAAATGAACAACCTAGTGAGCATATATCATGGAGGCACCGTGAAAAGAGATCGCTATAGATATATTGAGTTTGTTAACATGCAAAGCGTGCCTGTGTTATTCAATGAGAAGCCTTCATTTAGTGAGTTGGTTACAAGAGCTCGGTTGGAGCTACATTGCCATGGAGCTGATGATGATGATGGCATCGCAGTAGAGGGTGTACTTCACCTAGGTTCCCCTCCCAACATCCTAAGGAAGATAATCTCAATTGGATGTGCAGACCAGTAGGAGAACTATGTGAGATCGGCTATGAAGTGCTACTTCCAAAGTTTAGACGTGGTTGTGCGTCAGGTGTTAGTTGATCCCATCACTCATAGGTTTTCTCCACCAATGGGTCAGTAGGCACACTTCGACCCTCCCGTCTCGGAACCTGATATGAATGTGGAGGTTGCACCTACGGTTCCTAATGTTCAATCTGCCCCCAATGAGTTAGTTAGAGATGCTTGTCAGACTCATGATGTTGTGGTAGATCCTCCTGATGAGATTCCTTTGACACAGAATCATCCGAGTATGTGTCTTATCCGCATGGTTATTGGGAGCAAATGAAAGGCACACCTAGAGAAGGCAAATGAAAGGGCTGGCACACATGAGGTTACATATTTTGACCACGCCACAGGGACTTATCTGGTCGAGCATAGGGGCGGTACAACGTCCGACGACGAGGTCCGAGAGTCAAGGATGCATGTGCTAATCCTCCAAGATTTCACATATACTTGTGGTAAACCAAGGCAGTACCACTTTCTATGTTCTCATTTGGTGGCAGCAGCTAGGCATCGCATCTTTAATTTCAAGAGCAGGATACCTCACGAGTTCAGTGTCGACACGCTTGTGCACACATGGAGCCCTCGCTTCGTGCCTTTCCAGGACCTTGGAGAGTGGCCTCCATATGATGGGCAAAAGTACATTGCGGATCCAGTTTACCATTGGAACAAGCGTGGATCAAGAAAGAGGACGAGGCACAGGATGGTTATGGATCAGATACCCGAAAGAACGAGGCGTAGGAGAGGAACCCCATTTCCGTACTAGATTAGTAGCGTCCTCATTTTTCAATGTCCACCACAATCTTACTGTGAACTTTGTTGCAGGGCAATACCCTCAAATGCTCGGTTGAAGACATTGAGTGCTTTCGTCCGAGAGTCAGTGACGACGACACGCGTAGCTTCCTAGACGTAAGATTCAAAATATTCTTTGAAATATATTATTAATACGTTAAATTCTTTCAGTTAACATTATTTTGTACAACAGAGACTGTCACGTCGGTTACGCCGTGCGGCTGCTCGTTGTGGTTGCAGGACAGCCACGACACAAGACGTGCACATTTCTTCCGCAGGCAGAGGAGGCTTAGGTTCGTCTAGCCAAGCACCTACAGGGTCCATAGGCATTGCGTACGAGGACGAGGACGAGGACGATGATGAGGTGGACCAGAGGCATGAGGAGCTTGGCCCGTCTTAGCTCCAGGACGCTCCCTCGACTCAGCCTACACAACCTTCAGACACTAGGCGACGCCATCCACCTGACCCTTGCATTCTAGGCACTGACGCTCTTGGTCATAAGGATAAGGGTAAGACTAGGAGGCAGTGACGGTTTGTGGTAGATGTTATTATATAGTATTATGGACTTTGTGGACTTTCATTATGAACTATTGTGGACTGTATGGACTATTATTATCGAATATGAACTACTATGGACTATAATTATGGACTGTGTGGACTATTAATATGCTCATGTATATGGTTTCAGATGAATGTGGCATATATTTGTATGTTTGTACATGTTGTATTGAGGTTAAATATTCATCTCATATTTGTGTATGGATGGCATCAAAAAATAGGGGAAATTATGGCGAAATTTTCTGCCTAAAGTACCTATTAATCAGCGGCATCAGATTTTTCGATTCAAAATAGTGATTGATGTCATGGAATCTAGGGGAAATAGCCTTTACAGTGATTTGTCATGTCACCGTCGAATAGACTTTTCAGTGTCCTTCGAAATAGTGGTTGAAGTCTGAAATTGGATAGGCTTTTTAGTCATGGAATCTAGGCTCTCCAGTGTCCTATGATGTAGGCTTTTTAGTGATTCTGAGTAGACTTTTTAGGAGCATTTACAGCACAATACAACGGCTAGCAAACCTGCCTCCACCTATATATATGTGTTTTAGGATGCATTGCTAACCGAAAGGAAAACCAAACTAGTATTCGGTTTTGTTGGAGTAAGAATGTCTGGAGGGTCATCTAGAGGAAAGGATTTTTAGGAGTGGAAGAGTGAAAGTGCATTTGCCTCCAATGTGGGTTTTGGTGTATTGATGACATCCAAATTAGGGACTAATGTGATCTTAATGAGATATGTCGCAGAGGTTGCACCTACGATTCCCAATGTTCAATCTGCCCCCAATGAGTTAGTTGGAGATGCTTGTTAGACTCATGCTGTTGTGGCAGATCCTCCTCATGAGATCCCTTTGACATAGAATCATCCAAGTAAGTGTCTTATCCACATGATTATTGAGATAAAATGAAAGGCACACCTAGAGAAGGCAAATGAAAGGGCTGGCACACATGAGGTTACATATTTTGACCACGCCACAAGGACTTATCTGGTCGAGCATAGGGGCGGTACAACGTCCGACGACGAGGTCGGAGAGTCGAGGATGCATGTGGTAATCCTCTAAGATTTCACATGCACTTGTGGTAAACCAAGGCATTACCACTTTCTATGTTCTCATTTGGTGGCAGCAGCTAGGCATCGCATCTTTAATTTCGAGAGCAGGATACCTCACGAGTTTAGTGTCGACATGCTTGTGCACACATGGAGCCCTCGCTTTGTGCATTTCTGGGACCCTAGAGAGTGGCCTCAATATGATGGGCCAAAGTACATTGCGGATCTAGTTTACCGTTGGAACAAACATGGATCAAGAAAGCGGACGAGGCACAGGATGGTTATGGATCAGATACCCGAAAGAATGAGGCGTGGGAGAGGAACCCCATTTCCGTACTAGATTAGTAGCATCCTCATTTTTCAATGTCCACCATAATCTTACTGTGAACTTTGTTGCAGGGCAATACCCTCAAATGCTCGGTTGAAGACATTGAGCGCTTTCGTCCGAGAGTCAGGGACGACGACACGCGTAGCTTCCTAGACGTAAGATTCAAAATATTCTTTGAAATATATTATTAATACGTTAAATTCTTTCAGTTAACATTATTTTATACAACAGAGACAGTCACGTCGGTTACGCCATGCGGCTACTCGTTGTGGTTGCAGGACAGCCACGAAGCAAGACGTGCACATTTCTTCCGCAGGCAGAGGAGGCTTAGGTTCGTCTAGCCAAGCACCTACAGGGTCCATAGGCATTGCGTACGAGGATGAGGACGAGGATGACAACGAGGTGGACCAGAGGCACGAGGAGC